GCCTGGCCCTGGAAGGAATTCAGTAAATATTCATTAAATAAATTATACACTAGACGTTACCAAAATGGGTACTAGTCAGGAGAATGGAAGCTAAAAAGTGGGATCCGGCTTAGGTTTCAGAAGGGTCAGCTGACTCAACCCAAGCCCGCTGTGTGGAATTGCTACTGTTTTATAGATGTGGAAGCTGAGGTTCAGCAAAGTTGGATGTCTTGACTAGGGCAGATTCATGGTCTTTTTCCTAAAGATGCACAGGTCTGGAAGGGGCTTCATGAAATCCACCCCCTTCAGGAGAGAAGCTCTAGAAGGCCTAAGAAGGAGATGGCTTTTTTTTTTTCCTATCAAATGCCACCAAGCCTTACAAACACAGATCACCTGATAACCTCATGGATGGAAAATGCCAACGAATTTAGGTTCTTTTTAAAGAGACATTAAACTTATCTGGCTTTAAAAAAAATTAGACATTCCCTTGTCTTCAATAAATCAGATATTCTAAAATATTCTTTAATTTAATATGGTCAGATAAATATGAGAATGGTGAGCAGGGAATTGAGGGAGGAAAGAGGGAGAGGGGAAAAGAACATAAATAGAAAAATAGGGTAAAGTAGCAAGGAAACATCTAGAAGGAGGGAAGAAGGCTCTTGGGATACCCTGCACGTTATTCAGACTATTGAATTAAGGGAATAACCTCCCGTTATCATGCTATGAAAAATTCGTATTTCTCTTTTTAAACCTTTAGACTCTATTTCAGATAGGTCACTGGGCTTGCCCTTTTATCCTATCAGCACGCACAGGATACCCTGGGATACAGAGATGCTGTGCTCCAGGGTCTCCCCGGAGTCAGGGGGGAAAGAGGCCAGTGGAACAGCGCCAGGACCCCATGAAATGGACCCCATGAGAGGGGCAGGAGCAGCACAGAGAGGTCCCCAACCCAGCCTGGTGCAGGTGCAGAGGCCCCCCAGGAATAGGCACCTGCTGAGCTGAGTCGAGGGGAGAAGGCAGGGGTGGGGTGGGAGGCGTTCCACCAGGAGCAAGTGGAGAGAGCAAGGATACAGATGACCCTGCACAGACATCCCTTCTCCCAGCCCTAGCAACTCTTGAGAGCAGGAGGTTGGACAATTCTGCTCCTCTCACTGGAAACCAAACATCAGCCTGTCCCGCCTCCCCCAGGCTAGGTTACTGCCCCGGATCCTTAAGCGTGGCTCCTGGTAGCACATAAACCTCTGTGCCCTCCACAATCAGGCATCCCTGTCATGCGTGGCCTGGTCCTGGCCTTCCCCCCAAGGGGCAGCTCCACCCTCCCCACCTCCCGACATTCAGAAACAGTGATCCCGAGGCAGGGGCTCAGGACCCGGCCTCTCGGGGGCACAGTCTCAGGGGGGCAGTTGGGCAAGTGCGTTTCATTCTTCTCATAGAGCTCTCCTGTGGGAGGGGTGGGTGGCGAGCTCTTAGCAGGGAGCAGCAGAGCCCTGCTGAGGGGTGGCCAGGAGCCCCAGGCACTGGGAGAAGACACCTGAAGCTGGACAGGGCTTTATCTGGGAGCCAGCAGCTGCTGAATAATGGATTCTGACTCTGCCTGCACTCCCAGGCTGCACACTGAGTGCACACCACACACACACACACACGCACACACACACACACACACACAGATCCACACACGCTGGGCTGACAACTTGGAGGGGCGGGGGCTGGCAGGGCTGTGAGGCTGTGAGTCGCTGGAAGGAGCAGCTCGCTCAGTTGCCTTGGTCTCTGTGGGCAGCATCGGAGGGGCCCCAGGAGGAGGAGGAGGCAGCGGCAGAGAGGAGGAGAGGAGGGAGGCGTGTGAGCCGTGCTCCCCGGCAAGCTCCTTCCCACCGCTCACCCCTGGCAGCACCAGGCCCTCCACACCGGCATGGCCCTGCTCGTCCACCTCAAGACAGTCTCGGAGCTGCGGGGCAGGGGCGACCGCATCGCCAAAGTGACTTTCCGAGGTAGGGAAGCCCCTGTGTTAAGGAGACCCCAGCTCTGAGGGCTGGGTCAGCCACGCTTGGGGGATGCTGGGGAGAGGGCAGGCAGGGAGGATGGATGGGAAAGTTCCATCGGGGGCTGGGGCAATGGGCTTTCCACAGGTAGCCATCTGCCCCTGGCCGGCCTGGCCACGGTGATTTCTTGAAAATCAGGGGCCCCTGTGTTTCCACGTCTGCTTCTCCTTGCACTTGTCAATGTGCCAGTGCCCTGGCAGCATGCGGAGCCCTCTGCCCGGGAAGGCAGAAGTGAGAACCCCACTCCTGGGCTCAAAGAGACCCAGGACTGAGGGGTCCAGCCCTGCGGAGCCTTCCTGGGCCCCCTTCCTCCTCTCTCGTCCTCTCCTGCAGGTTGTTTTCCTTGGGCACAGGGTGGAGGTGGAGTCTTGGAGCCTGGAAGACCCACCAGGGGCTGGTAGAGACCAGGGCAGCCAATGGCTCTCCGGGCCCCAGCGTGATGGGGGTGCTGTTGGCTTCTTTCAGATCTTTTTTTGGGCAGGGACCCTGTGAACTCCATGGCCTTTCCTCTGTCGGGTCTTTTCCTATTCTTCTTCTCACTCATGCATTCAGCAGCTATTTATTATGACCTACCGTGTGCCCAGGATAGGGCTGGAAACATAAAGCATGACCCAGCCCTGGCCTCAGGGAGCCCACATCTCAGGGTAGGGGGCAGGAGGACCAGCAGGCAGACAAGTGACAGGTGTGTGATGCAGCGAGGATGGGGATGAGTGTAGCATGCAGCTCCAGAAGTGGCACCCTAACCCAGGCTGGGGAGTGGTCGGCAGGGCAGTCTTCCAGGAGGAGGCAACACCCAACTGAAACTCAAGGGACCAGCAGGAGGGAGCAAGGTGAGGTGGTGAGGACTGAGCAGGCCGAGGGAACAGTGTGCCCAAGGCTGGGAGAGGGGCAGGAACTTGGGGCCAACAGAGGCTGGATGAGCCTGGAGCCAGAGAGGGTGCAGGAGCTGAGGCCGGAGAGCCAGGCAGAGCCATAGAGATGAGGCTGGACTTTGCCCAAGATCAGTGGAAGCCCCTGAGGGTTTTAAGAAGGGAAAGGCAAGGCCGGGCTCACCCTGCCTTTTACCCACCCACCCACCCCTCCCTCTCTGCCTGGGCACT